AAAATGGCTCGCTCCAGTGCTAAAACCACGGATCTAGGGGGAATAAAAACAGAGCAGGTTAATAAAAACAGAGGTAAAATTACAGCTTTAATGATTAAAATCTTACCTTCAATAGTCAGTCCTCTGAGTCCCCAGAACCCCAGTCTTTTTCTGACTTTCCCTAAAATGTCTGCCCAATTTAGACTCCCGCCCCCCTCCCAGTCAAACCTGATTCCCAGTATTTTTTGTCCATCAGTAACGGTAAGGGGGAGTCCTGCAGTCTCGTCGGGGGTCCACGGTCCATAAAATTGGGCTTGGGTCTTTGTTCTGTTTAATTTAGACCCAGAGGCCAGTCCGAAAAAGTCCGTCAGGTCCAAAGTCCTAAAAACAGGATAAAAGGTCAGTGCATAAAATACTCACGTCGTCCATGTATAAAAACACTTGGGAGGTGAGCCCCCCCCCACCCGGGATGCTCACCCCCCTGATTCCTTTGTCCCTTCTCAAGAGCTGTGCCAACGGTTCGATACATAAAATGTACAGGAGGGCAGATAACGGACAACCCTGACGGACACCGCAGTTGATTTGCACTGCTTTTGTCAGATGCCCGTTTACAATAAATCTACTGCTGATCCCTCGGTATAGCAGTCCCACCCACTCTATAAACCTATCAGGTAAACCCACGTTTCGCAGTACCTCGAAAAGGTACTGGTGCGAGACCCGATCGAAGGCTTTCTCAAAATCTAAATTTAGGACTACTAGCCGAATGTTTCTGTCTCTCGCGTAACAGATGGTGTCTCGGATCAGTACGAGGCTGTCGGTGATCCTCCTCCCCGGGACGGCACAGCCTTGATCCGGGTGAATCAAATCCCCTAAAAACATGGACAGACGTGAGGCTAAAATCTTACTAAAAATGTTTAAATCAACATTTAAAAGGGTGATCGGTCTCCAGTTGGTCAAGTCCGTCTTGTCTTTGTCTTTGGGGAGTAAGGTCACTATCCCTGTTCTAAAGCTGTCGGGTAGTTGACCTAGTCGCCCAAAGTCTTTAAAAACAGTGAGTAAATCTTCTGCTAAAATGTCCCAAAATTCATGATAAAATTCCACCGGGAGCCCGTCGGCCCCCGGGGATTTGCCCCTTTTAAAACTATTAAAACACTTTTGCAGTTCTAAAAGGGTAAAATCTTGGGTTAAAATCTCACTGTTTGTTAAAATTTTCTTTTCGGACTTTAAAACTACTGTAAGAGAATTAAAATCTATTTCTTTTTCTTTGTAGAGGTTTGTATAAAAATTTTCTACTATCGTTTTTAATTTCTTCTATTTTCTTTGTTTCTGTCCCGTCTTCCTTTTTTAATGTTAACGTTTTACTTTTGTTCAAAATTTTCTTAAAAAAGTAGCGGGTGCATTTTTCGTTTTCCTCTTTTTCTCTTTCTTTTGATCTTAAAATAATTCCCTTACTTTTTATTTCTGCCAACTTGGCCATTTCAGATTTTTTTTCTTTCGAAAAAAGTTTATTGACACACTTACAAATAAATGTTCAATTTTCAATTTTCCATCTTAAGACATTGTAAAACACATTTTTAATACACACAATAAAACTCACATCAACAGTAAAAGCACAATAAAACAGTGTAAAAGGCTAAAACAGTTGTGTGGGTAAAATCGGTGTAAAAAAACAATGTCCATAAAAGTGTGTCAATATTAAAAGTCCATTAAAAGAGGGTGCAGTGATAAAAGTCTCTCTGTACAGGAGCGGGGTGAGTCCCTATCAAGGAGACTCATCCTGCTCTCCTGAACATTTGGTCTCTCGGTGACCCGTCCCGCTCAGAGGAGGTCCTCTCCGATGCTCCTTCCCTCCGACCGCACCCGGAGAGCCAGGCCGCTGCGACCTCGACCTTCGAGATAAGGCTCCGGTCACCTTCATCCGAATGAGCACAGAGGCGATTCTTCTTTGTGACTGTGTCCTAGGGCCCGCCGCCTGCAGCTACGGTCTCACTGACCGTAGCTGCTGCCTTCCGGATCACAGCCACGGGGGGGATCTGCATGTGCTTTCCTACCAGCAGGTTTCTGGAGGTCCACATGGCGTCTTTGATGGCGGCGAGGGTGAGCCAGATCCTCGTGAAGTCCTTTTTTGATATGTTCGGACTTAGGCCCACCCCGTACAGCACCAGCTGTGCTGTAAGGACCTCCCCTGCTGGTAGGTACGGGAATTGTAAGGTGCCGGCTGTAGCCCACTGATCTCTGGCGGCACTGCACTCCCAGAGGAGATGCCTCACCGACTCGGGCGCGCCACAACCCGGCCGGGGGCAGGTTGCGGTCAGGGATAACCTCCGGGAGTGCATGACGGACCTGACCGAGAGAACCTCATGAGCAACCAGCCAGGACAGGTCCCGGAGTCTGTTCGGGAGAGCAGGATGGTTCACGTTGCGCCAAACTGTTGTGGGGCTCCCCTAGTGTGAGCCCGCGCACCGGACTCACGGGTTCCCGCTCCTGCACAGAAGAGATCATAGCTTTGTGATTGGTTAAAACCTGCAATCCCTCATGTGCTAAGTTAAAACGCTCTAAAAAGGTGGGAATAAAAGCATAAAAACTAGGCAAATTAAAAGATACGGGAACTCTGAGGTCTGACGTTAAAAACTTCTTTCTTCTTAAAAAGGAGCCCATCCAGAATCTGACAAAAGCAGTCGTTTTGGGGTTTCTGGATGGGTCCTGGGAAAGTGCTATGTGCAGTGCAGTGTAGTGTGTTCCAAGGATGAGGGGGAGGTCTGGGACGCCTTTGCCTCCTTTTTCCTTGGGCTTCTTTACGACCTCCCTCCTCAACCTTTCCCATTTTCCCCCCCAGAAGAAGTTAAAAATGGCTCTCTCCAACGCTAAAATCGTGGATCTGGGAGGGATAAAAACAGAACACGTTAATAAAAACAACGGTAAAATCACTGTTTTGATGATTAAAACCTTCCCTTCCATAGTCAGTCCTCTAAGTCCCCAGAACCCCAGTCTTTTCCTAACTTTCCCTGTAATGTCAGCCCAATTTAGACTCCCGCCCCCCTCCCGGTCAAACCTGATTCCCAGTATTTTATGTCCTGGGGTCACGGTAAGGGGGAGTCCTGCAGTCTCGTCGGGGGTCCATGGTCTGTACAAATTGGGCTTGGGTCTTTGTTCTGTTTAATTTCGACCCAGAGGCCAGTCCGAAAAAGTCCGTTAGGTCCAAAGTCCTAAAAACAGATAAAAGGTCAGTGCATAAAATGTTCACGTCATCCATGTATAAAATTGCCTTTGTGGTGAGCCCCCCCCCACCCGGGATGCCCACCCCCCTGATTCGTTGGTCCCTTCTCAAGAGCTGTGCCAACGGTTCGATACATAAAATGTACAGGAGGGCAGATAACGGACAACCCTGACGGACACCGCAGTTGATTTGCACTGCTTTTGTCAGATGCCCGTTTACAATAAATTTACTGCTGATCCCTCGGTATAAGCAGTCCCACCCACTCTATAAACCTATCAGGTAAACCCACGTTTCGCAGTACCTCGAAAAGGTACTGGTGCGAGACCCGATCGAAGGCTTTAAAAGGACTACTAGCGAATGTTTCTGTCTCTCGCGGATGGATCAGTACGAGGCTGTCGGTGATCCCCTTTTAAAAACTATTAAAACACTTTTGTTAGTCTCTAAAAGGGTAAAATCTTTGGGTTAAAAACTTCAGTTTTGCCCTTTTTAAAATTTTTTCCAAAAGGTGGACTTTTAAAACTACTGTAAGAGAATTAAAATCAATTTCTTTTTCTTTGTAGAGGTTTGTGTAGTAATTTTCTACCATGTTTTTTATTTCTTCTATTTTCTTTGTTTCTTTCCCGTCTTCCTTTTTTAGTGTTAAAAACGTTTTACTTTTGTTTAAAATTTTCTTAAAAAAGTAACGGGTGCATTTTTTGTTTTCCTCTACTTCTCTTTCTTTTGATCTTAAAATGATTCCCTTACTTTTTATTTCTGCCAACTTTACCATTTCACTTTTAATTTCTTTAATTTCATCCGTAAAATTAAAACCAATTTCTAAAAGTTTAAAATAACGCTGTAAGCGTCTCTGCAGTCCCAACATGCGGTTATTTTCTTTTTTCTTTTTTTCACGACCCACCCTTCTAAAAAAGTGTCGAGTCCTGTCCTTTACCATCTCCCACCAGTGCGCTCGTGTCTCGTGCAAGTCTTGAAGGGTCTGCCACTCTTGGTACTGCTCCCTGTACTGACGAGCTACATCAGCGTCTTTAAACAGGGAGCAGTTGAGCTTCCACAGACCACTTCCTACAGTCACACCAGAGGAGAGTGAAAGGGTGCAGGACAGCATCAGGTGATCTGAGAAAAAGACAGGGGTTAATGTAGCATCGGTGGGTGGGCAATCCCTGGTAAAAACGTAGTCAATGCGAGAGGCTCTGGTGCCGTCACCACTGACCCAGGTGAAGCCCTCCTCTCTAGGATGCAGGGTTTTAAAACAGTCCTGTAGTTTAAAATCCCTACATAAACCCTGCAATAAAACCGATGTTTTATCTAGTTTAAAATCCCCTGCTCTTCTCCTATCTTTTGTTGTTAAAATACAATTAAAATCACCTGCTAAAATAAGGGGGGTCGTGCCCAGCATGTGGGACTGCAGGTCTTCTAAAAAGTCATATCTAAAATGTTTTTCAGTAAAACCATAGATATTTAAGAGCCTAAAATCCAGATGTACTAAAAGTGCCCATCCGTCTCTCACCACAGTGCTGCCCTTTACCGTCACCAGGGGGTTTTTGATTAAAATGGCCACCCCGTCGTTTTTATTCTCATTGGATCCACTCCATAACGACGGGTGTGGCCACATCCCCTCCCAGTCCCTGTAGTGTTTTAAAAACGGTATGGCACATTCTTGTAAAATAAAAACATCTGAATTAAAAGTGTCGAGGTGGGATAAAATACTCTGGGCTCTAACTCTAGACTTAACACTTCTCACATTGATGGTAGAGAGTGTCATCGCCATGAGTATGGTTAAAAGAAGACACGTCATTTTAAAAGACTAAAAGAAGTTTACAGTAAAAACAGCCAGCCCCTCCTCTCCAATTAACTCAATTGGACCTCCACCTTGTCCATTTTCGGATCTACCGGCCTTCAGTTTGTTGGCAAAAGATTTGGGGCAACTTCTGAACAGATGATCAGACGCCCCACACAAGTTACACTTTCTGCCATTGGCACATTCTTCAAATGTGTGTCCAATTTCTCTACACTTACCACAGACCACTTGAGTGCAAGCCTCCACCAAGTGCCCGTGCTCTCCACACCTCCGGCAGAGCTTGGGTTGTCCCTGGTAGTGTATGTAGCCACGGTTTTCTCCCAGAACTATCATACTAGGCAGGTGCTTCAGGCCTTGGTAGCCCTGGGGGTCCTGCCATTGCTGGACAGGAACCCTCCAGCTGCCGGTCCAAATGCCGTCCACATCTCTAACCTTGATAGCCTGGCCCTTCACCGTGCAAAATCTTCCCAGCCATAAACAAATATCATCTGCACTCACAGTCTCATTGAACATCCTGACAATCACATGTTTCAGTGAATTATCATTCAGGTTCTCAACCGTGAATGCAGCAAACTGGGGCTCCACTTTCTTAAACCTGGTCCAAAATTCATTTAACAGTAAACACAGTTCGAAAGCTCACGTCAAACCCTCTGTTGAAGGGCAGAGACAGGATGCAATTCAAGTCATCAGGCTTGAACGAGAGCACCTTCTGAACCAGGCCGCGGGAGAAGTCTAACCGGGAAAAAGGAGGCACCTTCCCGTTGACCTCCCGCAAAGTGAAGCGCACGCTGTGGTGCCTCCTCCTGCCGGCATGGGAGGCCGACATTCTGGAGGCACCAACAGCTAAAACCAACTAAAAAACACTTAAAACTATCTCTAAAACCCACTAAAAGGACTAAAACCAGTTTAAAACAGCTAAAAAACAATAAAAGTGAAGCTAAAACCAGAGTAAATTATTTAATTAAAGTGCAGGTGCTCGGTTGTGCAAAATCCGCAAATAAGGTGCTGTAAAAAATAGGAAATGAACAAGAAAACAGAAACAAAAACAGTAACAAAATATATCCCCCGAGGGCCGAAACAAGAGCCACAAAGGCTAATGTTTTTGGCTCCTCGGAGGCGATCGCAGTCTCTTTTAATCAGGTGCAATAAACTGATAAGAACAGATTTTTCTTTCGAAAAGGTTTATTGACACACATTACATTTTATGCATTTTCATATTTCATTTTTCATTTAGGACATTGTAAAATCATTTTTCATTTAAAACACACAATAAAAACACACATCAACAGTAAAAGCACAATAAAACAGTGTAAAAGGCTAAAACAGTTGTGTGGTTAAAATTGGTGTAAAAACAATGTCCATAAAAAGTGTGTCAATTTAAAAGTCCATTAAAAGAGGGTGCAGTGATAAAAGTCTCTCTGTACAGGAGCGGGGTGAGTCCCTATCAAGGAGACTCATCCTGCTCTCCCGAACATTTGGTCTCTCGGTGACCCGTCCCGCTCAGAGGAGGTCCTCTCCGATGCTCCTTCCCTCCGACCGCACCCGGAGAGCCAGGCCGCTGCGACCTCGACCTTCGAGATAAGGCTCCGGTCACCTTCATCCGAATGAGCACAGAGGCGATTCTTCTTTGTGACTGTGTCCTAGGGCCCGCCGCCTGCAGCTACGGTCTCACTGACCGTAGCTGCTGCCTTCCGGATCACAGCCACGGGGGGGATCTGCATGTGCTTTCCTACCAGCAGGTTTCTGGAGGTCCACATGGCGTCTTTGATGGCGGCGAGGGTGAGCCAGATCCTTGTGAAGTCCTTTTTGGGAGTGGTCGGACTTAGGCCCACCCCGTACAGCACCAGCTGTGCTGTAAGGACCTCCCCTGCTGGTAGGTACGGGAATTGTAAGGTGCCGGCTGTAGCCCACTGATCTCTGGCAGCACTGCACTCCCAGAGGAGATGCCTCACCGACTCGGGCGCGCCACAACCCGGCCGGGGGCAGGTTGCGGTCAGGGATAACCTCCGGGAGTGCATGACGGACCTGACCGAGAGAACCTCATGAGCAACCAGCCAGGACAGGTCCCGGAGTCTGTTCGGGAGAGCAGGATGGTTCACGTTGCGCCAAACCGTGGTGGGCTCCCCTATCGTGAGCCCGCGCACCGGACTCACGGGTTCCCGCTCCTGCACAGAAGAGATCATAGCTTTATGTTTTGTTAAAACCTGCAAACCCTCATGTGCCAGATTAAAACGCTCTAAAAAGGTGGGAATAAAAGAGTAAAAACCAGGCAAGTTAAAAGACACGGGGACTCTGAGGTCTGACGTTAAAAACTTTTTTCTTCTTAAAAAGGAGCCCATCCAGAATCTGACAAAAGCAGTTGTTTTTGGATTTCTGGATGGGTCCTGGGAAAGTGCTATGTGCAAAAGCAGTGTATTGTGTTCCAAGGATGAGGGGGAGGTCTGGGACGCCTTTGCCTCCTTTCTCCTTGGGCTTTTTTAGGACCTTCCTCCTCAACCTTTCCCATTTCCCCCCCAGAAGAAGCCAAAAATGGAACGCTCCAAAGCTAAAACCACAGGTCTGGGAGGGATAAAAACAGAACAAGTTAATAAGAACAAAGGTAAAATCACTGCTTTAATGATTAAAACCTTCCCTTCAATAGTCAGTCCTCTGAGTCCCCAGAACCCCAGTCTTTTTCTCTGACTTTCCCTGTGATGTCAGCCCAATTTAGACTCCCGCCCCCCTCCCGGTCAAACCTGATTCCCAGTATTTTGTGTCCTTGGGTCACGGTAAGGGGGAGTCCTACAGTCTCGTCGGGGGTCCACGGTCCATAAAATTGGGCTTGGGTCTTCGTTCTGTTTAATTTAGACCCAGAGGCCAGTCCAAAAAAGTCCGTCAGGTCCAAAGTCCTAAAAACAGATAAAAGGTCAGTGCATAAAATGTTCACGTCGTCCATGTATAAAAACACTTGGGAGGTGAGCCCCCCCCCACCCGGGATGCCCACCCCCCTGATTCCTTTGTCCCTTCTCAAGAGCTGTGCCAAAGGTTCGATACATAAAATGTACAGGAGGGCAGATAACGGACAACCCTGACGGACACCGCAGTTGATTTGCACTGCTTTTGTCAGATGCCCGTTTACAATAAATTTACTGCTGATCCCTCGGTATAGCAGTCCCACCCACTCTATAAACCTATCAGGTAAACCCACGTTTCGCAGTACCTCGAAAAGGTACTGGTGCGAGACCCGATCGAAGGCTTTCTCAAAATCTAAATTTAGGACTACTAGCCGAATGTTTCTGTCTCTCGCGTAACAGATGGTGTCTCGGATCAGTACGAGGCTGTCGGTGATCCTCCTCCCCGGGACGGCACAGCCTTGATCCGGGTGAATCAAATCTCCTAAAAACATGGACAAAATCTTACTAAAAATCTTTAAATCTACATTTAAAAGGGTGATAGGTCTCCAGTTACGTCAAGTCCGTCTTGTCTCGGTCTTTGGGAACTAGAGTCACTATCCCTGTTCTAAAACTGTCCGGGTAGTTGGACCTAGTCGCCCCAAGTCTTCATAAAAACAGGCTGAAAAGGTCTGGTGCTAAAATGTCCCAAAATTCATGATAAAATTCCACCGGGAGCCCGTCGGCCCCCGGGGATTTGCCCTTTTTAAAACTACTAAGGCTTTTCTTGAGCTCTAAAAGGGTAAAATCCTGGGATAAAAGCACGTTTTCCTTTAAAACCTTTTCCATAGACTTAAAAACTTCGTTTAAAATGTTGGGATCGACTGTTTTTTTTGTATAAAGGTTCGAGTAAAAGTCTTCCACTATCTTTATAACCTCATTGTTGTTTTTTGTGGTCTCGCCGTTATCTTTTTTTAGGGTTAAGATAGTTTTACTTTTATTTAAAATTTTCTTTAAAAAGTACCTGGTGCATTTTTCACCTTCCTCTAACTCTTGTTCTTTTGCTCTTATTATTATTCCTTTACTTTTTATTTCTGCCAATTCGGACATTTCATTTTTAATTTCTTTAATTTCGTCGTTTAAATTAAAACCAATTTCTAAAAGTTTAAAATAACGCTGTAAGCGTCTCTGCAGTCCCAACATGCGGTTATTTTCTTTTTTCTTTTTTTCACGACCCACCCTTCTAAAAAAGTGTCGAGTCCTGTCCTTTACCATCTCCCACCAGTGCGCTCGTGTCTCGTACAAGTCTTGAAGGGTCTGCCACTCTTGGTACTGCTCCCTGTACTGACGAGCTACATCAGCGTCTTTAAACAGGGAGCAGTTGAGCTTCCACAGACCACTTCCTACAGTCACACCAGAGGAGAGTGAAAGGGTGCAGGACAGCATCAGGTGATCTGAGAAAAAAGACAGGGGTTAATGTAGCATCGGTGGGTGGGCAATCCCTGGTAAAAACGTAGTCAATGCGAGAGGCTCTGGTGCCGTCACCACTGACCCAGGTGAAGCCCTCCTCTCTAGGATGCAGGGTTTTAAAACAGTCCTGGAGTTTAAAATCCCTACATAAACCCTGCAATAAAACCGATGTTTTGTCTAGTTTAAAATCCCCTGCCCTCTTCCTATCTTTTGTTGTTAAAATACAATTAAAATCACCCGCTAAAATAAGAGGGGTCGTGCCCAGCATGTGGGACTGCAGGTCTTCTAAAAGTTCGTGTCTAAAATGTTTTTCGTTAAAACCATAAATATTTAAGAGCCTAAAATCCCTCCCCATAAAATCCAGATGTACTAAAAGTGCCCGTCCGTCTCTCACCACAGTGCTGCCCTTAACCGTCACCAGGGGGTTGTTTATTAAAATGGCCACCCCGTCGTTTTTATTCTCATTGGATCCGCTCCATAACGACGGGTGTGGCCACATCCCCTCCCAGTCCCTGTAGTGTTTTAAAAACGGTAGTGCACATTCTTGTAAAATAAAAACATCTGAATTAAAAGTGCGGAGGTGGGATAAAATACTCTGGGCTCTAACTCTAGACTTAACACTTCTCACATTGATGGTAGAGAGTGTCATCGCCATGAGTATGGTTAAAAGAAGACACGTCATTTTAAAAGACTAAAAGAGACTTACAGTAAAACCACTTAAAACACAATTAAAATCCGATTAAAAAAGGCCGTTATGAAGGACCTTGTGAACTCGCCCCTGCCTTCCTCCTCGTGGGGGAGGGGGAAGGAGCTTTGGGCTTGTTCCTCCTCTGCCTCCCGACGGGCAGGTCTCGCGGAGTTGATTGCAGAGCGAAAGAGAGGAACGAGACCTCGTTGGGTGAGCCGGAGGGGAAGACTCGGGGATCCTCCACAGAGTCACTGTCTGAGAGAGTCCCCACTCTCCCCCTCTTCTCCGAGAGTAGGACACTCTCGGAGGACGACTCTGACAGGGGCCTCTTGGGTAACTGGGTGTGGGCGAGGAGGGCGTCCAGGCACTCGTTCAGGGGGTCTAGAGGGGAACCGCCCCCCAACACGTCCACCAGGTCGATCTGGGTCTCAGGGGAGACGGTCTCCCTCTCCGTTCCCCAGGTGGGCGGAGTGGGCGGGACCTCCTCCGACCCCCCTTCCAGGGTGGGAGGGGCCTCCGCAGGCCCCTGCTCCCCCTCCTCCTCCTGTGTGGGAGGGGCCTCCCCCTCCCCCACCTGCGCGGGAGGGGCCTCCCCAGGCCCCACCCCTTCTCCCGCCTCCCCCTGCTCCTCTCCTCCAATCAGGGGTTTTGGCGGGAGATTTGAATTTCCCAGCCCCTCCTCTCCAATTAACTCAATTGGTCCTCCACCTTGTCCATTTTCGGATCTACCGGCCTTCAGTTTGTTGGCAAAAGATTTGGGGCAACTTCTGAACAGATGATCAGACGCCCCACACAAGT